GGGGGGGGGGGGGGGGGGGGGGGGGGGGGGGGCTCGGTATGTACACATCCAGGCACGAGCGGTACCGTGGCCTGGGACACCAAAACATCCCTAAGGGCCATTTTCCCAGGGAATCTGGTTGACCTGGCTTTGACCACAGCCCCCCCTTGGGCATGGCCTCTCTACTTTGCCCCCACTTCTCTCAGTAACACATCTTAATTGCCTGTGAAGTCCTATTTAGAAGCTCTTTGTCCTAAGGCTTCAGGGCCCACTGATCCCTGACCATATTACAAAGACAGGAACTACTAAGGCTGCTGATGCTTGCGTGTGTTGTGTCCATTCATGAGGGTTTAATATCCCTATTCCCAGGCCTCCCTAAGCTCCAGAAACCTTCACAGGGCTGTTCCTGTGCCTATTGCCCCGAAGACGCTGTTACTCATATATCTGGTTTCCTGGTTCTGGGTACAGACAGGGTTCACAGAGCAGGCCTCCCGAGTGACTGGTCCTTAGATGGCGTCTGGGCCGGCCCTCAGGACTACTCTAACCAGAAGCTGACTCTTTGGTTCTTGCTGACTACCTGCTTTCTTTCTGGGAGCCTGGCTCAGGGTTAGCAGCGGGGTCTCTGACCAGCCTCCTCTAAGAACCTGGACACCAAGTCTCCCATGAGTTGCCCAGTTAACAACATTCGCAAGTGGCTTGGGGTGGGAGCTGAACCTGTCTGTCTCCCCTAACTTTGTCTCTTTTCCTCCTGTTGTGACAAGTCACACAGCACTCTGTGTGAGTCTCAAGGCCAACTCTGGGATGGCTGTGGCCCTAAGGACTTTCAGGTCTGACCCAAATGTCCCAGGCATGACGCTGAAGATTTGCTGCCTCCTCTGACCTCTTGGCTACGGTCCTTCTCATCCAACCATCCTCCCTGGAGCCATAAGCTCACAACAGCTCCACCTCATTCCAGACTGGCTCGTGAGCTGTGGGGCTCATGCAGCCCTGCTCCCATGTGCTATAGACCAATTACTCACGTAGTCCACTGCTCATCCGAGATATAGCAGAACATGAGGCGCCGTACATGGTAAGGCAACCAGCAGACCACAAAGGCAATGACCACGGCACCTGCAAGACAGAGTCATTGGTCTCGGAAATGTGGAGAGAGCCAAGAGAGACAGAGATGATATTCTGAGTTCATGGACCTTTTCTTCCTTTTCTTTTTCCTTTCTTTTCTTTCCTTTCTTTCTTTCTTTTTTTTTTTTTTTTTGTAGTAAAAAAACAGCTGGTGCAGCAGCGCGTGTCTGTGACCCAGTGCTATGAGATTGCAGCCCCATGCAGAGACATGTAGATACCTAGAGCTCACAGGCAAGCTCGTGCAGCTGAATCAGTGAGTTCCAGGTTCAGTGAGAGAAGCCATCTTAAAAGAGAAGGCAGAGCACAAAAGAGGAAGACAACCGCTGTCAACCTCTGGCTTCCATACACACGCGCACATACAAAGCAAACACACACAGAGCAGCCAAACAGATGCAAGGGTGCTAAGTGTTGCAGCCACTGTGATAAACAGCAATTAAAGAAAATAGAACAACAGTTAGCACATGATCCAACGGCCCCATTTCTGGGAATTGCCTTGAAAGGACTGAAAAGAAATACTTGCACTCCATGCTTACAATAGCATCATCCCTAGCCAATCACAGGAGTGGAAGAGATCGGGAGCCTGTGGACAGACGGGTGGAGCCGCTGTCACGCCGGTCTCTGGTCATGATGTGTGTTCCTGAAACGTGAAGTGAGCACTGCACCATGGAATATTATTCAGCATTAAATAGGCAGGAGATTCTGATCTAACATATGCTCCAACACAGACAAGCTTGAAATATGTTTTGTATATGGAGACACATAATTAATTCTCGTATGATTCTGTGCATACAAGGCTCCTCCAGGAGTCAGACTCATAGGATGGGCTGGCGGGCAGATGAAGAGTTCTACGCACAGGTAGTGGGGAGCAATTACTGCTTAATTCCCAGACCGGGCACCTCACAATGATTATGGTAGAATATTTTATGCTATGCATTTTTGGCATAAAATTAAAAAAACAAACTTGTACTTGGGAAAACCCCCTGAGAGCAGAGGATGTGGGACCCTGAGAAGCAACACAGCGGTCTGAGCATCAGGATGGCTCTGCACTTGACCTGATATTTAGTCACTCAGGTGGAGGGAGGCTTTGGCCTCAGTATCCTTATCTATACAACGTGAGCTTTCAAGGTTTTCAGTTTTGTTCCACTGAGGGTGCAGACCCCCAAAGTTAATGGAAGCAGAGTTGGGACACCTTGGGGTCCTAGAGGGTGCTTAATAGTTGTCTTCCCTTCAGTCCTGATGTCTGCCCTGGGTAAGTTAGCTCCTGGTAGGTGTGATCAGAAGGAGGGAATAGCTGGACAGCCAGACAGCAATGTGAGATCTCTTCCAGTTATGCTGAGGGCCATTAGGTTAGTGCAGACATGAGGAGGTGACTCTGGGCTCTATCAGTGTCCTTGGGAGGAGCTCTCCTCACAGCTGCTGTCTTTGGGTATAGATAAGGACATCAGTGGGGATTGCCACAGGGCTCTGAGGTTCTGGCCGCCGTGGGTTTGCTCTGAGACTGCACCGAGAGCTGCTGGTGAGCAGCCTGAATGGCAAAAGGACAAGACCAGCAAGGAGCCACAGCCATAGAAACATGCAAGACATGGGTCTGGAGAACAAAGACTTTTGTCCTGAGTCTTTCTCATCCATCATACCTGATGACTGTTTCCTGAGGTTGCATCAGCTGCAGGATTCAGGCCCACCCACTCTGCTCAGCCTTGTTGCCAAGTCCTGCCTGGCCAGCCGGCATTTGCTTGGCAAGCCCTCTGCCTATAACTCTGCTACCAGGACTTCCTTGTCCTGTATAGCAAGATGTTGCCTCCGTGGAGGCCCCCAGCTGCCAGGTCTGGTCATGTGACTTCACTTGTGCTCGTGCCTGGGGTGCGATCACGTGCTTGAAAGAGCCTTGATTGCCAGCAAGAAAGCTGGAACAAGACTTCAAGCTCAGAGTTGGCACCCAGCCTCTGGTTGATTGAGCGAAGGCATGAGGGGGTGAAGACTGCAGGGTGCCGCTGGCAAACCTGGACCCGCATTCTATCCCATTGGGTCAAGCCCCACACTGAGCCCGAGAGTGCTGTCTACTCCCCAAGGCCCGAGGTTACATACGTAAGACGAGGACTCCGTGGCGTAGAGCCTGGACACGTCCAGGTTCGACGGACATGCTGAACGTGCTGTGCTGTAAGCTGTTCTGGGCGCCCACGGTGCACACCCGGCCTTGCTCGTTGGCCTGGTGCACCATGACGGTCAGTTTGTTGGCAATCACAGTGTTGAGGACAGAGATGACCAGCATGGGGAACACAAAGGACATGAAGGTGTTAACCTGCGGAGAGCGAGAGGCAGCTGTTAGTCCTAGACGCGGGCCTTGCTTATCCACCAGACCCGGAGGCTATCATACTGGTGCGCTCAGAGCTGGGGTTGGGAGGTACTTCACACGTTACGGAGGCCATGCCCACTTAGCCTGCCCACCGGATCAGGTCCTCCTCTGGATCAGGCTCAGCTCCCACTCCCATCTGCTTGTAAATGATCAACACAGCCTCTGTTTCTGGGGCTGGGTAAACCCTGCGTGTTCTGACGAGGTCCAAGCTCTGGGTCCTGGGTCTGAGGATATCATGCCCAGGACTCCAGACCATGGTGTGTCTGTTCAGTGAGGCTGAGCCCTTGGCTCCCACTCGGCATGCAGATAGTTCACACGGATGCTTCCATATGTTTTTTCCACCCACCGGGTGTCTCAGAGGTCTGGAGATGCACAGCCCTGCTCATCAGTCCAGGCTTTCTACACACACTCTACATTTGGGGAAACCGAGTCTGTGGTTCTTGTGGACTCAGAAGAGGCGGGACATGGATTTATTTCCTGGCCTGTGTGAGTTCAACCTGACTTCTTCAGCAATGTCGTCAGCTGTTGGAGCAAAACTACACAAATGCGGACATGTCTTAATGGAAATACACAGAGAACATGGCCAGCACAAGGCTTGTGACTTGCAAGGCTCCTGGCTTGTGGTGAGGACAACTGTGACTAGACCCCGGAAATGAGGGGAGTGGCCACCCAGAGTGCTGGATGCCTCTTTTGGATTTGGTTGCAGCATCTGGAAGGCTTTGCCTCTACCCCCAGGTAGCCACAGACCATCGCTGGGAGGGGCTGGGAAGAAGCAGTCCAAGTTGCTACTTTAATAAAGCTGTACTCAACAGTCAGGGTACAAACCATTCAAGGGAAGCTATTTCTGCATGTTCTCGGTCAGCATCCCCTCCCTCTTGGACCCTGTGTCCCCTCCCCAAGCTGACCTTGAGAACAGAGGGTTTGCCCACCCCCACACCCCCACCCCCGGCGTCAGGAGCCAGACCTACTTCTGCCGTGTGCTTAGCTCCATCCACTGGAAGCACATGGAGGGTAGGCAAGAAGTTCTCGGCTTGCTCTGGACCCAGCTGTGCCCCATCCCAGGAGACACACTGACTCAATTCCTGGTGAGTCATGGTGGAATTAAACACACGGAATGTATCCAACACAGATTTAAAATGTCAAAACATTTAAAATACCACACCTTGCTGAACACAGGCAGCAGACAGCTCGCTACCTCTGGGACTGGACAGAGTCAGAGCAGAGCACCAAGACAGGTATTGGCTCTAGGCCCCTGTTGGTCCCCAGGCTCCTAACTGTAAGGCTCCCAAGCTGAGCCCTTTTCTGACCCTTGCCAGGTGTGGCCCCAGCTGTCTGCCTCCAACTTACATGGGCATCCCAGCCCTGTCCACACAGGATAGCCTTGAGGAACATTTATGGCCTCTGCCAGCTGAGTCATGCTGAGTTCACAGCGGGATGCCTCCTTGCCATCCCACCTAACCGGAAGCATCCATGGCATCTTTCAGTGTGGCATTGAGTGTCCTGGGGGACGAGTCAGGGACTGACCCAAGACCACCCTGTTTTAGGACTCTGAGCAGTGGGGAAAGACACAGCCAATAGCAGGAGGGGCAGAGCTGCTAGTACCCGCTGTGGGAAGGGCTGGGGAGAGGCCAGACTCAGTGCTACTGGTCTTGGGGAGGTACGGCACATGCATATAGTCATACAGTGTCTCTGTTGCCTGCCCCCCCCCCCGCCCCGTTGCTGCCTCCCTTCCGTGTGTCTGTCTGTCCTGGCATCTCTGTCTTTGCTTTTCTCTTTCTGTTTTAGACATATGTACTAACTCCCATGGGTGGCAGGACCTGCCCTTAGGGTCCTAAGGGCAGCTAGGTGCTGGGCCACCCTGGGCCACCACCTTAGTGGTCATGCTTATAAAGCTGGGTTGGGACCCTGGGGAGGACAGTGGACACAAGGGCATGCCAGTCTCTGGTGTCCTCACCTTCTCTTCCACCCAGGGAACCTGGGCTGTTACTATCCCACTCAGCTCTGGATTGGAAATGCCTCAGCATGGGGGAGGGGCTCCAGAGAGTGGCAGCACACAGGGGAGGTGGGGGCTGCTGCAGGATGGAGTCTAGACTTGAACCTTAGACAGACAGGAGTCCTATGGCCTATGGCAGCTGTGACCTGGAGCAGGTCCTAGTACTCCAGGTTTAAGGTTTGTTATTGGAAGAGTGAGCAGAAGTGCCCTCCACCATCGGATGGTAGCACCAGAATTACCATCAGGGTGGGAAAAAGAAGCAAGCTGAGGTCTCTTGTCAGGAAGCTAGGATGGTTTCTGAGAGAAATAGGGGTAACTCAGCCACCACCCTGCCTAAATCTATACTTTTGTGGAGAAGGAGGGAGGCAGAATAAAAAAGATAGCAGAAGAGAAACACTGACCAGGGATGGTGAGTCCAGGCCTGTACACTGAGGACCGGCTATCAAGGTTGTCAGCGCAGCCTTGTTTGAAATAACAAAGACAGAATAACTCAAACGCCCGCCGCAGAGACAGCTGGCCAGTCCCCATGCATCTGCTCCTTGGGGCACTGGTTGACCCCCAGGTATCAGAAGATAACAGTTTATGGGGAGAGAGTACAAGGAAACTAAGGGAAACATGGTGGCTCCCCAAGTTCCTCTAAGGCGCAGCTCGGCACTGCAGAAAACCCAACCAACCTGGACAAGGGCTGGTAGAACAAGCTTCAGGTGTCCTTTCTGAACTGGACCTGAAATATCTGTCTTACCCTATACACTGGACATGTCTGGTGCCCTGGTGTGAACAAGAGACCCCACGTCACGCCAAAGCCATTCTTTATTCCCAGATCTAGGAAATATTAGGAACAAAAGAAGCTTGTATCGGTGGGTCTATTCTCATTTCATAGGTAGGCAGCTGGGGCCCAGAAAACTAGAGGATGGGGGGGGGGTCTCTTAAAGTGACACATCCCAGAATTCCACGGGAGCGAGAGTGAGTATGTGGCGCTTGCTCTCAGGATTGTGGGAGAAGACAAAGCATCATCTAAGAGCCCCTGCAGGATGCTTGAGAGCCAGGTTCTAGTCAAGTAGCTAACAGCAAGGAGAGAGCTTAACGTGTAAGGAAATTGTTGGAGCAGCTGCTTCTGGATGTCACAAAGAGTGGCAGCCCAGAATGCCACGTTGTCTCGGCCTCCACTCGAACCCCGTCACCCTTACAGGTGTCTGGGAGTGGTGGCATGGACACCAAGTTCTGAGTATACCAGGACTAGAAATTGAGGCAGCTCAGAAGGGAGACAAAGAGTCAGACCGGATCCCAGGCAGATAAAATACAGGTTCTTCCTTCATGAGTGAGTGTGCTGAGCCCAGCCCCCCACTCTTCAGGTTGTACCTCTCTGGGGGGCAGCTAGACTAGGGAGTGTTCAGTACAAAGGCTGGGAATCCTTGGGAATTTATCAGGAAGCTTCTATTTCGCTTCCTTACATTGCCCCCACTCCACTATTGGGCCCCTGTACTTTTTGTGGTTTGTGATTACTGGAAGAGGCTGGACCCCAGACAGAATCTAATTGGGAGATTTGTGGGGTAGTTCTTAAGTCCTCGATGGGGAGTCAGGGCCACGGGCAGTACCTACCTACGCCAAGAGGGCTTCTGACCAGCACACGGGCAGGACATCATTGCCTCTCTGCTACCCACAGATGGTACATACCACCCTCCCACCTCTCTGTGTACTGGCCACCTTTAATGTGAGAGGCAGACTCTTCCCTCCTGCTGTCCAGAGGCTGCTGCCTGGTTGTGGACTTAGCAACAGAAAACCTTGAACGTCCACATCCTGCCAGTGCCCGGCAGTGTTGCAAGCCTGGCACCAGTTTGGCTGTCGGGAGACCACTAACTCAGCCCAGAGGCCTCAATTGGATTAGGAAAATGGCCTTCTCAAAAGCTCTGCCCTTGCCCACCTGTGCCAGACCCTACGGTCTGGGGAGGGCTTAGCACAGCAGCGTGGGTGCAGGGCAGCCTAGGTCCAGAACTCTCAGCACAGCTGGTGGTGTGAGGCTTGCTTACAGGACGGGGGACAGAAACAGGTGACAGGATGCTTCAGTGTTTCCATCCCCTCTCAAACTGGCCCCAAGCCATCTGTATAGAGACTTCGGGGCACGGAGGACTGACGTCTATCTGCCACGCCTTCAATACATGTCAGCCAAAAAGCCCATTAGAACGTTCAAATCAGTGGGGCATCCACTAAGCAGCAACAAATGACTCTGAGATCCCTGATAAGTTCAGTGGCAGCACAGACCAGAGTAGGTGGGCTGGGTACGGCTGGACTCACACCCCTCTTCCATACCCAACAGTGTGGCAGGAAAGGCCCCAGTTTGTGAATTAGGCTCACTTTATGCCTGCATCCAGGAAAGCTACGCACAGCTGAACTGAGTCTACGGCTCTGTCCACGTCAGCTAAGACAGTAGCATCTCCTCTGATGGGTAACTGTGTCCTGAAAAGCAGCTTCCACTTGCTAAGATGCAACATTCTGTATCCCTACTTCAAAAGCCCAGGCCAATTCAATCAGTTTTGCTGATACGCCTTTTGTTTGCATTTTCCCAAGATGCAGGGTGCTAATTTGACACTGAAGGATTAAGCCTCGGGCCAAGTGCTCAGCCCAGTACATTGAGAGCCCTTGACAAAGGTTGAGCCATCCAAGAAAGTTCTCTGTTCCATGCCAGGAAAGCCTAGGACTCGTGGACAGGAGCCTCCTAATTCCAGTGATCATACAGGGCTTTCAGCTGAGCTTGGGAGGGAGGCTTTGCAAGGCTGGGACGGCCGTCTGCTGGGCTTCAGTGGCTGTAAGCAGGATACACAGTCCATCTCAGAGCGTACATTTTGTGTGAGGCACACAGGATGCAGCCCCTGCCCTGTGCACTAGCTGCCATGTCATTGCATTCTGGTGGCAGCTGAATCTCCAGCCCCACAATTTGCTGTGTGCTTTCTTGCCG